ATGCCTCTGTAATTAGAAGGGTTATCCTTACTTTTACCATGGCCTTTGTGGATTGGAAGTATATTCCCCACACTAAACAACTTAGGAACATATTCATAAGAAACAATATCATTATAAAACGTAAGAAGGTGGTTGATGAGTGATCTTCCACTAAATTTAACATGCTCATTTACAATATGATCCGGGCCTGGGATTTTACCGTCTTCAATGATTTTACAGTTTTCAATAGTTCATCACCAGTAAATGGACATAAAAGATTCATACTGGTGTCATTACAGTCATCAACGTCTTGTCTTGTGACAAGATCTTCAATAAAACTATTAACAAAACAGGTAAAATCTTGATCAAAATTGATATCTTCATACGGCTGGGAGAGATCCCTAAAGTACTTAGCAAATAGGTTACAGATACTTTCTGGAGCGTCACAGGTCTCGTTCTCGTACACAAGGGTTTTAACTCGTTCTTTATTGCGTTTGTACTTTTTTTGTAACCCTGGTATATTCCTGAATATCAACTTCGGCTGCTTCATAGATGTCCCTGAACTTTTCATCTTGAAGTTTACGTTTTGATCGGCGATGTTTTTTTTCGAAAGATTCTCTTAGCCTGCTTATATTTTACGTAGTGAACATCGTCCTTATTTCGTGGCTTACCCATATGGACCCATTCTTTACGTGCGTGTCGCATATCGTTATGACATGGCTTTAAATTATCCCTCTTCCAGTAGGGTTTTAAATGGGATTGAAATTTTGAAGCAGGAATACTGATATTGGCTGAAGCATGTAATGAATCAAGGATGAAATTATGGTAGGCTTCAATATACTCCTCTGGTGTGTTGTAATCAGCTATATCTAAACTGACATTTCTGAAATAATTTTCAGTCTCATAGCGATAAAGCATCAGATCAATGCTGTTGGCCTTTCGCCAGTTTAACTTTTCACCCCCATAGTGATATTGACGTACATCATCAGTTACATGCATACAAATAAGTATAGGGTAGTGATCTGAGACAGAGTACGGGATGGAATAGTCAATATCATAGCCAACAATGCTACTTCTACAATCAGTGTTAACAAAAACATAATCGATCATAGTTTTAACCTGTCTACATTTACTAGTGTAGGTGTAAGCATTTTGATTGTCCAGTGGTACAATCGAGATCAGGTCACGTTCCTTCAAAGCTCTCTGCAAACACTTAGCTCGAGGTTTTAATGCTGAGAGAGTCCAAAGGTCAGTATTAAAATCACCAAGTATTACAGTTTGTCCATGATATGAGCAGGTATCGTATACATCCATAGCATTATGGACTTCTTCTGCGTAGACAGTGTCCATGACATTAGACGATGGAAGTCGCACACCAACTATGTACACTGGAATGCCACATTTAGTCATCTTAACACCAATGATGTGTTCACTGTTCGGTATATTTAATACCGAGACACTACAATTATCTTGCTTCCTGATGAACAATGCAACTCCACCAGCTCCTCTAGGTGAAGAGTGGTTCTGCTGGCATTTGACACACACATGGAAGTCGTCATGAAGATCAGTGAGAATTGGTTTCTGATTGTCATTCAGCCAGTGTTCACTTAGGAACAGTATATCACAGCTATCCAGTTTATACTTGAGTTCCGACAAACAGTTCGTAACACCACGAATATTCCATGTAATTGCAAGACATATATTACTGTCCGTTACCTTCATGTCCATTATCGCCGTACCATGTATTATACGGAACCCATTCCAGACACTTCACGTTTTCAGGCCAGAAATAGTCGTCATCCATGATGACGTCAGCAGAGTCTCTAGTGACTGTAATTCGTATGGTGTATGTCGGGTTACGCGGACTGTCCCAATGCTTCATCAATCTGGTATGAGATATCACAACGCCACGGTCTTTAGCGTAATCCACTATAGCGTCTTTGATGATGTCAAAAGACTTGTCAGCCCTGACATAACTTAGCACTAAACGTGGCTGGTCCTGCTAGTATACAATATCACTGGGATAGAACTACTAGTACCACGATAGTACTGCTATTATAGGATAGTCCTGCTAGTATACACTATCACTGGGATAGAACTACTAGAACAGCGAGAGTACAGCTATTATAGGCTAGTCCTGCTAGTATACAATATCACTGGGATAGAACTACTAGAACAGCGAGAGTACTGCTATTATAGGCTAGTTCTGCTAGTATACAATATCACTGGGATAGAACTACTAGAACAGCGAGAGTACAGCTATTATAGGCTAGTCCTGCTAGTATACAATATCACTGGGATAGAACTACTAGAACAGCGAGAGTACTGCTATTATAGGCTAGTTCTGCTAGTATACAATATCACTGGGATAGAACTACTAGAACAGCGAGAGTACTGCTATTATAGGCTAGTTCTGCTAGTATACAATATCACTGGGATAGAACTACTAGTACTGTGATAGTATTGCTATTATAGACTACTCCTGCTAGTATACAATATCACTGGGATAGAACTACTAGAACAGCGAGAGTACAGCTATTATAGGCTAGTCCTGCTAGTATACAATATCACTGGGATAGAACTACTAGTACTGTGATAGTATTGCTATTATAGACTACTCCTGCTAGTATACACTATCACTGCGATAGAACTACTAGAACAGCGAGAGTACAGCTATTATAGGCTAGTCCTGCTAGTATACAATATCACTGGAATAGAACTACTAGTACAGCGAGAGTACTGCTATTATAGGCTAGTTCTGCTAGTATACAATATCACTGGGATAGAACTACTAGAACAGCGAGAGTACAGCTATTATAGGCTAGTCCTGCTAGTACACAATATCACTGGGATAGAACTACTAGTACTGCGATACTACTGCTATTATGGGCTAGTCCTGCTAGTATACAATATCACTGGGATAGAACTACTAGTACTGCGATAGTACAGCTATTATAGGCTAGTCCTGCTAGTATACAATATCACTGGGATAGAACTACTAGTACTGTGATAGTACTGCTATTATAGGCTAGTTCTGCTAGTATACAATATCACTGTGGCGGACTGTCAACTTATTGGACTACCCCTATTGTGTAGATCGAGTTTCAGGTTCATAATTGTTGCCACTGGATTGGCTGGGCAAGTTTACAGACAGATGTGACATAACTTGAAACTTGTTTAGTGCTACGTTCTGCAACAAACATAATGGAAAACGGAACATCCATAAACAAAATGGCGGAACGTACACGGTCACTGCACTTTCTCTGCGGCTGTTTCATATGCAAAATGAACAGTGAATGAGTACAGTACTGAAGTTTATGCTTGTCAGCCTTTGTGTTTTAATGGATCAATACAAACTATTGGTATTCATCAAAGTCTTTCTATCAGACTATGAACAACTAACTGAATCGATTGTTCAGCTAGATGATGATTTGTTGTCTACACGGGAGTCATCTTGTACAAGCAGTTTCTGGTAGTGGATTGCTGAGACGGCGACTGTCCTGTTGTTGACGCCTTTACGGCGGATACAGGTAGCATGACTTACCTGAACAGCGTGCAACCAGGGGTCGACTTAGCATTGTTACAACAGTAACATTTAATGATTAAACATGAAACGAAAACCTATCATTGTAAATTGCTGTACTGCATGTACTAGTATACTCTCCAAAAAGGTATAGGTGTATTTTCACGAATTTTATCTGCTGACTTTAAAGTGAGATAACACATGCAATTCTGGATCAGTTACAGCCAAATTACACAGTATATACGACCATTTGTCTGTTAACACGTATAGCGTATAAAAGGTTCAATACGTGAAGGAGTCGGCCGAGGTCATCCCACAAATACTCGATCAGGACAGGGGATTTGGAAGGCCATGGAAGCACTGTAATGTTCTCAGTCTGAAGATACTGAATAGTGACATGGTGCTGTGTGAGGCCTGGCATTATCTTGCTGGAACAACTCCCCCTGGTGGTCAATGATCGGAACCATGTGAATCCTTAACATTTCGTCTCTGTGCAGTTAAATTGCTCTGAAGGCGCACACAGTTAGTTTGTAGGATATGGCTACCCTGATCATGACATCTCAACTTCCATATCGGTCAACCTGGGAGACACAGTTCTGGGCAAAATGACATTCATTTCATCTCGATAGACGTGTACTCTTCCGTCATGACACTGAAGCTGAAAGTGTGATTCGTAACTGACCCATAAACGTTGTGCCAGTTTTGTAGAATCGAATGTAATTGCATCACTGGACCCGTCGGCGTCGATGTAGTCGTTGCAGCACAGCTCCAAAATAGGGTCTGGCTTCTCGTAAGCGATTGCGAATGGTTTGTGCCGACACACTCCTCATTCCAGGCAGTGCAGTGGCAGTTACAGTTGCTGTGACAGTTCGATTCTTCGAGTCCGATGTTGCGTAAAATTGGTTTGTTGATATCGGTCCCAAAAACGACTGATGGTACTCCAAACGACTGATGGTACTCACATTGAGGAGACTCCCCAGCCCACAGGCATGTTTCGATTTACAGCAGTGAGTCGCGACATAACGATATTCTTTCATTTAGCTAAAAAATGCCTATGACCGCCTGAAAGCAAAACGGCCTTATATTCAATCCGTTCAATTGTGCCGAGATCTGAGAAGCATATACTCCACTGCTGGCTACCTGTACACTGACAGGAACTGGTTTAGGGAAACAATCACGCCCAGATGAAACACGTATTTTTCGTAGAGTAGACTGTTCATCTTAAACTGACACCTGTATAAGTGATATTTATGCAGGTTTATGTCTCCCATGTTATGTATGGGCCGGGTGCCTTATAACACAGTGGGCAACCGGCTCGCAGTGTTGGCGAGTCTCCGCGGTCTTGTTGATTGGGCGTCAACGTACAAGGCTACAATCACACGCACGCACGCACGCACGCACGCACGCACGCACGCACGCACGCACGTACTCACACGTACTCTTGCACGTCCATATGTTGTACACAGGTATGTATATAATTCACTACAGGTGTGCCTACCCTAAGCGCTCTGCTTCCACTCTGGAAGGGGAAGGACTGGTCGTGTCTGCCAGTGAAAACACATTCAGCTTTGTTCTGTTCCTGCTGCCACAAACAAAGGTGGATGCTGCTGGACTGCTGCTACTACTGCTGCTGCTACTGCTGCTACTACTACTACTGCTGCTGCTGCTACTACTGCTACCTGCTACTGCTGCTGCTACTACTGCTGCTACTACTACTGCTACGCTGCTGCTGCTGCTGCTGTTACTGCTGCTACTGCTACTATACTACTGCTGCTGCTGCTGCTGGTGCTGCTACTACTACTACTACTACTGCTACTGCTGCTGCTGCTGCTACTACTACTACTACTACTGCTGCTACTGCTACTGCTACTGCTGCTGCTGCTACTGCTGCTGCCTTTGCTGCTACTGCTGCTACTACTGCTACTACTGCTGCTGCTGCTGCTGCTACTACTGCTGCTACTGCTACTGCTACTGCTGCTGCCTGCTGCTGCTACTGCTACTACTGCTACTGCTGCTGCTACTGCTGCTGCTGCTGCTGCTACTGCTGCTGCTACTACTGCTGCTGCTGCTACTGCTGCTGCTGCTGCTGCTACTGCTACTACTGCTGCTGCTGCTGCTGCTACTGCTGCTACTGCTGCTGCTGCTGCTGCTGCTGCTGCTACTACTACTGCTGCTGCTGCTACTACTGCTACTGCTACTACTACTACTGCTGCTGCTGCTGCTACTGCTGCTACTGCTGCTGCTGCTGCTGCTGCTGCTGCTCTTCTGCTGCTACTACTACTGCTGCTACTACTGCTGCTACTGCAACAACTGCTACTTGCTTGCTGCTGCTACTGCTGCTGCTACTACTGCTGCTGCTACCACCACCACCACCACCACCACCGCACCAACAACTACTACTACTACTGATGCTACTTCTACTACTACTACTACTACTACTACAGGGAGACAGATGGAGTCATCACCTACCAGGACGTCGTAGATGACATCTTTGAAGATGAAGTGGCGGGCCGTGTCGATGAGGACACCTCGGTGAGGAAACCGAGGCTTGTCTAAAGCTATTGTCTCCATCACATACAGCTGCAATAGCAACAAGGATGAATGTTATATAACCGCAATCATACAGATAATTTTATTACAGCTAACCAGGCCACGCATACTGTTGGGTTTTCCAGAAAGACTGGTAGTCAATATAGATGGACCAGGGGACTTCATATTCATGTCATATTGACAGTCAGAAAGAGTCAACTCACCTTCCCATCTGTGCCTCTCCAGACCAGCTGACTGAACGTCTCCAGGCCTCGCAGAGCTCCCTACACCTCGTTGGCAACTATGAGCTTGCTACTGTCTTTAATCACGAGCCTAGCGATAGATATAGATCTCTACAGTGACAGGTACCAATTGGCATATCAGTGAATGAATGAGTGAGTGAAGGAATATATCAAACGTTTCCCACTTTGGTGAGACCAACAAACACGCGTATGGTGTTTATGATAACACTTTACCATACTAACGTTTCACATTACCACATTTGTTGTTATTTTCCTGATCGACAAAGATGTGCTGCACACTCCCTTACTCACTCACTCACTAGGAATGTGGTCGCAAGGTTACGCTCATCCATTAATAATTTCTTGAGAGTAAGATTCTATCACATCGCTCGCAACTCATACAATACAAATGTAGCTTTGGTATCTTAGCAAAGAATGTCCAGGCGTGAGTAAGGTCATCGTTGCCAACTTGCAACAATGTCACGACGTATGACATTCCAGATTTACAGTATTTCCAACAAGAAAGCCAATAATGGGAACGGTCACTTGTGGCTCTCCGACCTAGGTATAGAGTCATGTGTCTGTACATAGTGGCTATCTGACCTAGGTATAGAGCCATGTGTCTGTACATAGTGGCTATCTGACCTAGGTATAGAGTCATGTGTCTGTACATAGTGGCTATCTGACCTAGGTATAGAGTCATGTGTCTGTACATAGTGGCTATCTGACCTAGGTATAGAGTCATGTGTCTGTACATAGTGGCTATCTGACCTAGGTGTAGAGTCATGTGCCTGTACATAGTGGCTATCTGACCTAGGTATAGAGTCATGTGCCTGTACATAGTGGCTATCTGACCTAGGTATAGAGCCATGTGTCTGTACATAGTGGCTATCCGACCTAGATATAGAGTCATGTGCCTGCACATAGTGGCTATCTGACCTAGGTATAGAGCCATGTGTCTGTACATAGTGGCTATCTGACCTAGGTATAGAGTCATTTGTCTGTACATAGTGGCTTTCCGACCTAGGTATAGAGCCATGTGTCTGTACATAGTGGCTATCCGACCTAGGTATAGAGTCATGTGTCTGTACATAGTGGCTATCTGACCTAGGTATAGAGCCATGTGTCTGTACATAGTGGCTATCTGACCTAGGTATAGAGTCATGTGTCTGTACATAGTGGCTATCCGACCTATGTAAAGAGTCATGTGTTTGTACACAGTGGCTATCTGACCTAGGTATAGAGTCATGTGTATGTACATAGTGGCTATCTGACCTAGGCATAGAGTCATGTGTATGTACATAGTGGCTATCTGACCTAGGTATAGAGTCATGTGTCTGTACATAGTGGCTATCATGATCTGACCTAGGTATAGAGTCATGTGTATGTACATAGTGGCTATCTGACCTAGGCATAGAGTCATGTGTCTGTACATAGTGGCTATCTGACCTAGGCATAGAGTCATGTGTATGTACATAGTGGCTATCTGACCTACGCATAGAGTCATGTTTATGTACATAGTGGATATCTGACCTAGGCATAGAGTCATGTGTATGTACATAGTGGCTATCTGACCTAGGTATAGAGTCATGTGTCTGTAAATAGTGGCTATCTGACCTAGGTATAGAGCCATGTGTCTGTACATAGTGGCTATCTGACCTAGGTATAGAGTCATGTGTCTGTACATAGTGGCTATCTGACCTAGGTATAGAGTCATGTGTCTGTACATAGTGGCTATCTGACCTAGGTATAGAGTCATGTGTCTAACACAGTGTGGCTATCTGACCTAGGTATAGAGCCATGTGTCTGTACATAGTGGCTATCTGACCTAGGTATAGAGTCATGTGTCTGTACATAGTGGCTATCTGACCTAGGTATAGAGCCATGTGTCTGTACATAGTGGCTATCTGACCTAGGTATAGAGCCATGTGTCTGTACATAGTGGCTATCTGACCTAGGTATAGAGTCATGTGTCTGTACATAGTGGCTATCCGACCTAGGTAAAGAGTCATGTGTCTGTACATAGCGGCTATCTGACCTAGGTATAGAGTCATGTGTCTGTACATAGTGGCTATCCGACCTAGGTATAGAGTCATGTGTCTGTACATAGTGGCTATCTGACCTAGGTATAGAGTCATGTGTCTGTACATAGTGGCTATCTGACCTAGGTATAGAGTCATGTGTCTGTACATAGTGGCTATCCGACCTAGGTATAGAGCCATGTGTCTGTACATAGTGGCTATCTGACCTAGGTACAGAGTCATGTGTCTGTACATAGTGGCTATCTGACCTAGGTATAGAGTCATGTGTCTGTACATAGTGGCTATCTGACCTAGGTGTAGAGTCATGTGCCTGTACATAGTGGCTATCTGACCTAGGTATAGAGTCATGTGCCTGTACATAGTGGCTATCCGACCTAGGTATAGAGTCATGTGTCTGTACATAGTGGCTATCTGACCTAGGTATAGAGCCATGTGTCTGTACATAGTGGCTATCTGACCTAGGTATAGAGTCATGTGTCTGTACATAGTGGCTATCTGACCTAGGTATAGAGTCATGTGTCTGTACATAGTGGCTATCTGACCTAGGTATAGAGTCATGTGTCTGTACATAGTGGCTATCTGACCTAGGTGTAGAGTCATGTGCCTGTACATAGTGGCTATCTGACCTAGGTATAGAGTCATGTGCCTGTACATAGTGGCTATCTGACCTAGGTATAGAGCCATGTGTCTGTACATAGTGGCTATCCGACCTAGATATAGAGTCATGTGCCTGCACATAGTGGCTATCTGACCTAGGTATAGAGCCATGTGTCTGTACATAGTGGCTATCCGACCTAGGTATAGAGTCATGTGTCTGTACATAGTGGCTATCTGACCTAGGTATAGAGCCATGTGTCTGTACATAGTGGCTATCTGACCTAGGTATAGAGTCATGTGTCTGTACATAGTGGCTATCCGACCTATGTAAAGAGTCATGTGTTTGTACACAGTGGCTATCTGACCTAGGTATAGAGTCATGTGTATGTACATAGTGGCTATCTGACCTAGGCATAGAGTCATGTGTATGTACATAGTGGCTATCTGACCTAGGTATAGAGTCATGTGTCTGTACATAGTGGCTATCCGACCTAGGTATAGAGTCATGTGTATGTACATAGTGGCTATCTGACCTAGGCATAGAGTCATGTGTCTGTACATAGTGGCTATCTGACCTAGGCATAGAGTCATGTGTATGTACATAGTGGCTATCTGACCCACGATAGAGCAGAGTCATGTTTATGTACATAGTGGATATCTGACCTAGGCATAGAGTCATGTGTATGTACATAGTGGCTATCTGACCTAGGTATAGAGTCATGTGTCTGTAAATAGTGGCTATCTGACCTAGGTATAGAGCCATGTGTCTGTACATAGTGGCTATCTGACCTAGGTATAGAGTCATGTGTCTGTACATAGTGGCTATCTGACCTAGGGTATAGAGTCATGTGTCTGTACATAGTGGCTATCTGACCTAGGTATAGAGTCATGTGTCTGTACATAGTGGCTATCTGACCTAGGTATAGAGTCATGTGTCTGTACATAGTGGCTATCTGACCTAGGTATAGAGTCATGTGTCTGTACATAGTGGCTATCTGACCTAGGTATAGAGCCATGTGTCTGTACATAGTGGCTATCTGACCTAGGTATAGAGCCATGTGTCTGTACATAGTGGCTATCTGACCTAGGTATAGAGTCATGTGTCTGTACATAGTGGCTATCTGACCTAGGTATAGAGAGTCATGTGTCTGTACATAGTGGCTATCTGACCTAGGTATAGAGTCATGTGTCTGTACATAGTGGCTATCCGACCTAGGTATAGAGTCATGTGTATGTACATAGTGGCTATCTGACCTAGGCATAGAGTCATGTGTCTGTACATAGTGGCTATCTGACCTAGGCATAGAGTCATGTGTATGTACATAGTGGCTATCTGACCTACGCATAGAGTCATGTTTATGTACATAGTGGATATCTGACCTAGGCATAGAGTCATGTGTATGTACATAGTGGCTATCTGACCTAGGTATAGAGTCATGTGTCTGTAAATAGTGGCTATCTGACCTAGGTATAGAGCCATGTGTCTGTACATAGTGGCTATCTGACCTAGGCATAGAGTCATGTGTATGTACATAGTGGCTATCTGACCTCCATAGTGATAGAGTCATGTGTCTGTACATAGTGGCTATCTGACCTAGGCATAGAGTCATGTGTCTGTACATAGTGGCTATCTGACCTAGGTATAGAGTCATGTGTCTGTACATAGTGGCTATCTGACCTAGGTATAGAGTCATGTGTCTGTACATAGTGGCTATCTGACCTAGGTATAGAGTCATGTGTCTGTACATAGTGGCTATCTGACCTAGGTATAGAGTCATGTGTCTGTACATAGTGGCTATCTGACCTAGGCATAGAGTCATGTGTCTGTACATAGTGGCTATCTGACCTAGGTATAGAGTCATGTGTCTGTACATAGTGGCTATCTGACCTAGGTATCAGTGTCTGTACATAGCGGCTATCTGATGTAGAGTCATGTGTATGTACATAGTGGCTATCATAGTGTGGTAAATATCTGACCTAGGTATAGAGTCATGTGTCTGTACATAGTGGCTATCTGACCTAGGTATAGAGTCATGTGTCTGTACATAGTGGCTATCTGACCTAGGTATAGAGTCATGTGTCTGTACATAGTGGCTATCTGACCTAGGTATAGAGTCATGTGTCTGTACATAGTGGCTATCTGACCTAGGTATAGAGTCATGTGTCTGTACATAGTGGCTATCTGACCTAGGTATAGAGTCATGTGTCTGTACATAGTGGCTATCTGACCTAGGTATAGAGTCATGTGTCTGTACATAGTGGCTATCTGACCTAGGTATAGAGTCATGTGTCTGTACATAGTGGCTATCTGACCTAGGTATAGAGTCATGTGTCTGTACATAGTGGCTATCTGACCTAGGTATAGAGTCATGTGTCTGTACATAGTGGCTATCTGACCTAGGTATAGAGTCATGTGTCTGTACATAGTGGCTATCTGACCTAGGTATAGAGTCATGTGTCTGTACATAGTGGCTATCTGACCTAGGTATAGAGTCATGTGTCTGTACATAGTGGCTATCTGACCTAGGTATAGAGTCATGTGTCTGTACATAGTGGCTATCTGACCTAGGTATAGAGTCATGTGTCTGTACATAGTGGCTATCTGACCTAGGTATAGAGTCATGTGTCTGTACATAGTGGCTATCTGACCTAGGTATAGTAGAGTCATGTGTCTGTACATAGTGGCTATCTGACCTAGGTATAGAGTCATGTGTCTGTACATAGTGGCTATCTGACCTAGGTATAGAGTCATGTGTCTGTACATAGTGGCTATCTGACCTAGGTATAGAGTCATGTGTCTGTACATAGTGGCTATCTGACCTAGGTATAGAGTCATGTGTCTGTACATAGTGGCTATCTGACCTAGGTATAGAGTCATGTGTCTGTACATAGTGGCTATCTGACCTAGGTATAGAGTCATGTGTCTGTACATAGTGGCTATCTGACCTAGGTATAGAGTCATGTGTCTGTACATAGTGGCTATCTGACCTAGGTATAGAGTCATGTGTCTGTACATAGTGGCTATCTGACCTAGGTATAGAGTCATGTGTCTGTACATAGTGGCTATCGACCTAGGTATAGAGTCATGTGTCTGTACATAGTGGCTATCTGACCTAGGTATAGAGTCAGAGTCATGTGTACATAGTGGCTATGTATAGTCATGTGTCTGTACATAGTGGCTATCTGACCTAGGTATAGAGTCATGTGTCTGTACATAGTGGCTATCTGACCTAGGTATAGAGTCATGTGTCTGTACATAGTGGCTATCTGACCTAGGTATAGAGTCATGTACATGCTATCTGTACATCAGTGGCATAGTGGCTATCTGACCTAGGTATAGAGTCATGTGTCTGTACATAGTGGCTATCTGACCTAGGTATAGAGTCATGTGTCTGTACATAGTGGCTATCTGACCTAGGCATAGAGTCATGTGTCTGTACATAGTGGCTATCTGACCTAGGGTATAGAGTCATGTGTATGTACATAGTGGCTATCTGACCTAGGCATAGAGTCATGTGTATGTACATAGTGGCTATCTGACCTAGGTATAGAGTCATGTGTCTGTACATAGTGGCTATCTGACCTAGGTATAGAGTCATGTGTCTGTACATAGTGGCTATCTGACCTAGGTATAGAGTCATGTGTCTGTACATAGTGGCTATCTGACCTAGGTATAGAGTCATGTGTCTGTACATAGTGGCTATCTGACCTAGGTATAGAGTCATGTGTCTGTACATAGTGGCTATCTGACCTAGGTATAGAGTCATGTGTCTGTACATAGTGGCTATCTGACCTAGGTATAGAGTCATGTGTCTGTACATAGTGGCTATCTGACCTAGGTATAGAGTCATGTGTCTGTACATAGTGGCTATCTGACCTAGGTATAGAGTCATGTGTCTGTACATAGTGGCTATCTGACCTAGGTATAGAGTCATGTGTCTGTACATAGTGGCTATCTGACCTAGGTATAGAGTCATGTGTCTGTACATAGTGGCTATCTGACCTAGGTATAGAGTCATGTATGTACATAGTGGCTAGACCCAGGTATAGAGTCATGTGTCTGTACATAGTGGCTATCCGACCTAGGTATAGAGTCATGTGTCTGTACATAGTGGCTATCTGACCTAGGTATAGAGTCATGTGTCTGTACATAGTGGCTATCTGACCTAGGTATAGAGAGTCATGTGTCTGTACATAGTGGCTATCTGACCTAGGTATAGAGTCATGTGTCTGTACATAGTGGCTATCTGACCTAGGTGTAGAGTCATGTGCCTGTACATAGTGGCTATCTGACCTAGGTATAGAGTCATGTGCCTGTACATAGTGGCTATCCGACCTAGGTATAGAGTCATGTGTCTGTACATAGTGGCTATCTGACCTAGGTATAGAGTCATGTGTCTGTACATAGTGGCTATCTGACCTAGGTATAGAGCCATGTGTCTGTACATAGTGGCTCTCCGACCTAGGTATAGAGTCATGTGTCTGTACATAGTGGCTCTCCGACCTAGGTATAGAGTCATGTGTCTGTACATAGTGGCTATCCGACCTAGGTATAGAGTCATGTGTCTGTACATAGTGGCTATCTGACCTAGGTATAGAGTCATGTGTCTGTACATAATGGCTATCTGACCTAGGTATAGAGTCATGTGTCTGTACATAGTGGCTATCCGACCTAGGTATAGAGTCATGTGTCTGTACATAGTGGCTATCCGACCTAGGTATAGAGCCATGTGTATGTACATAGTGGCTATCTGACCTAGGTATAGAGCCATGTGTCTGTACATGGTGGCTATCTGACCTAGGTATAGAGTCATGTGTCTGTACATAGTGGCTATCTGACCTAGGTATAGAGTCATGTGTCTGTACATAGTGGCTATCTGACCTAGGTATAGAGTCATGTGTCTGTACATAGCGAGCAATGTGAGCACTTGGTCTTATAAACATGTCGCTTTCATAATGAAATGTTCAATCTACAGGATCGTTGAAAATTGACATTGTCTTGATGAAAAGAACCATTGTGCCCTTTGAACAGTTTACAATCGACTACATACACAGTAAACGTATTCTTGCCAAAGGGTTCAGAAATCAATAGAACACCAGGGAAAGGTCACCCTGACCCTGGCACCCGCTACCAAGATCTAAGGGAATAGTCGCTGTCAGCGATAAGTGAGGTTGGTATAAGGCCACATTGAACTATACCCCGTTGTATCGACGCGTGTTCGCTCGGGGTGGGAGTAAGCCGGAAGCAAGGCAGGTTTTGATGTATGATTGGAAGAAACGTATAGGTGATCAATGAACAAATGAAGGGCGGTTGGATAGCACAGTGGCTACAAAATTCACTCGTCGAAGTCCGGGTTCGATTCCCTACATATACGTACGACGTATGAAACTTATTTCTGGTGACCTCCCTTTACTGGACATACGGATCAGCTGCTCGGGGACATGACAGCGTTCCACCGCACAGCGGGAAAACTGGTTTCTCTTGATATCAGCAAGACGTCATAAACCCATGACGGTCATTACACTCAGAAATGACATACGTTACGCCGGAGTTAACGGTTCGACTCAGAAAAACTCCATTAGGCTAGGAAGTCCATGAGGTTATGGCGGGTGTGCCTCTCACTGAGCCAACAGTACAGGCAGGCTGGATGCGGTGACGATCACCTTAACCAGACAGACCAGGTCTGGGAAGTAGTACTTGTCACATATGAGTGAGTGAGGTTTTGGGTTTACGCCGCTTTTAGCAACATTCCAGCAATATCACGGTGGGGACATCAAAAATGGGCTTCACACATTGTACCCATGTGGGGCATCGAACCCGGGTTTTCGGCGTGACGAGCGAACGCTTTAACCACTAGGCTACGCCACCACCCTTTAACAGATTAGTCGAGATACGTCTAGAATGCACAAATTGTCGTGAACGAGTGTGGCGTGGATAACAATTTCAGGATTCAAACAGAAAATGCGAAACATGACCTCTATGTAAAGGGGTTCAGTTGGAATTAGTACGGCTGGGAGATCTCCATGCCCTCCACCGGGGCTAACGACGGGTGTGTGCTACAGGGATCACAGGCTGGATGTGCTCGTGAGACCATATGCTATCGGGACAGACTTCATCCTAACGGACGACCTTATCGTGACAGAGTCGTTAATGCGTACTAAGAGCGGGACACCATTGCCCACACGGAGTTGCGAGCTCGGCCACCAGATCTCAGCCTTATATTATCGAATACACGTGGAACGAGTTTTAGGTCGCCCTCACGTGACGCTCTCTCATTCAGCCAGCTCTACAGAAACTCGGCAATGCTCTTACTGATGTGAAACAATCTCTCCCTGGCAACCATCCTGACACACTTTGGGAAAATGGGACAACAGTGCAAGGCTGTGATGGCATCGCGTGGACCACGTACGTGCTACAGACATATTGTGTTTTGGACAATGAACTTTATTTCGCGATTTTGTTAAGGTTCAGTCCCATACTGTTTTTTGACGGGTGATCTGATTGATTATTGGTCACATGTAATTTGTTAGTATTGTGTGGCATATGGCAACGGCCTTTAACATGTCCTCTGCACGCGATATGGTCTTTTCATCGTATGCAGAGTAGTACAATCGTATGTATATGTCCGCCGTATACTGTTATCTATTGTCTTGCCTTGTATGACTATAAAACCCAATCCGGTGTAGTTCAATATCATTTGTTGATTTTTAGTGATATTTTGTTGTTATTAACTGGTTTCACAATCTGGTACTGTACATATAGAGTTTTTAGAATCAATTTGGATAAAACCCGTAACACACGTCGCAAAAAATACCCCAGGAAAACATCGCAAGGTGTTAAGTATAGGGCGTGTGTGCCATGTCACTATTTACTCGCTACACAGGTGACACGTAGTGGGACCTGCAATACAAAAACAGAAGGATACTTACATGATTCGTCCATGTCAAGGCTTGGGTATTTGACACACGGTTTATTGATGATTATCTCCACCTCATACAGTTCAGATGCTTGTCTGTACACATCACTCTCATACTTAATTCGGGGATCATTTATATTTGTGTTCTCAGCGTTCTGCAAATTATCATACAAATCTTCCACCGCGTCCTCCACTATATGTTTCCGGAACCGCTCTATGGCAAGGTCGATTGTATCACAGGAGTGATTCTTTATCACGAATTTAAAACTGCCTTCATCCACTTTAAACACCTTCTGTTCATTTCTGGCATAGCGACGAGGCAGTGGCCAGGGTGCTCCGGTACTAGCGTGCGGCGCCCGGCGGATGGACATCTGATCCCCCAAAGAGCCATACGCCCACCTTATGAAGAACATATCTCTGTCCCACTTCACCTTCATGTCCCCGTTCTTCTGGTCGGAGGCGGGGTGATCATTTTGAGGGAGTCGCTTCATTTCATTGAATTCATTTGTGAGGCTGTCCTTGCTCTTGGCTTCAGCAACAGGCTTGGGTCTTTTGTTTTCTAGGAAGTCCATGACAGGGTTCCGTGGCCTGCCGCCGCCGTAGTTCTGCCCCTTCATGTTGTTAACAGGTGTAACGACGTACTGTGACGGCTTCGTGTCCGTGCCTGGTCTCTGATTCATTTTTTTCATTTTATATTTTTTCTTCTTAGGTCTTGTACCACCACGAAGCAGTGATTTATTTGTTCCATCTTGCAAAGCCTTTCCTCCTAAAACGCCAGGTTCATCTTCCCCAAGTGCCTGAGCCTTCCCGGAACCCGACGCTGACTGTGCATTGTTAATGACTGTAGCTGAAGAGTTGTAGTGTTGACGTAAATTCGCCACAATATCTGGAACAGTCAACGTGTTGGTTCCACATGTAATGCTAATACACGGCACACGGATCCAATATCAATATATTCGGGGTGGGATTATACATCCATCACATTTCAATAGCCACATGCCGGCTTATAGATCTTGCAGTCAACATAAAGTGACATGGTACAATCAGTCCATCGATATTCCACGACTGGAGACGAACCTAACTACTAATCGATTCAGGTGTGATAATAGCAAATGTAGTTTTGCGGTTTTTTTATTGACACGTCTCTCGCCATACTGTCTGTACATGTAATGTTTTAAAACCATGCAAAATAACATTTAAGGTGAAAATATTTTCTATTATGAGAATGTATTCGCGTGTGTTAACATGTTCAGATCAAGGATTCAGACTAAGACGTGCCACAGGTACACTATCCGAGTTAGGCTATCATGAGTCACAGTAGAATCTCCAACTAACAGTTCTGATACCTACACTATCCGAGTTAGGCTATCATGAGTCACAGTAGAATCTCCAACTAACAGTTCTGATACCTACACTATCCGAGTTAGGCTATCATGAGTCACAGTAGAATCTCCAACTAACAGTACTGATACCTACACTATCCGAGTTAGGCTGTCATGAGTCACAGTAGAATCTCCAACTAACAGTACTGATACCTACACTATCCGAGTTAGGCTATCATGAGTCACAGTAGAATCTCCAACTAACAGTTCTGATACCTACACTATCCGAGTTAGGCTATCATGAGTCACAGTAGAATCTCCAACTAACAGTACTGATACCTACACTATCCGAGTTAGGCCATCATGAGTCACAGTAGAATCTCCAACTAACAGTTCTGATACCTACACTATCCGAGTTAGGCTATCATGAGTCACAGTAGAATCTCCAACTAACAGTACTGATACCTACACTATCCGAGTTAGGCCATCATGAGTCACAGTAGAATCTCCAACTAACAGTTCTGATACCTACACTATCCGAGTTAGGCTATCATGAGTCACAGTAGAATCTCCAACTAACAGTACTGATACCTACACTATCCGAGTTAGGCCATCATGAGTCACAGTAGAATCTCCAACTAACAGTTCTGATACCTACACTATCCGAGTTAGGCTATCATGAGTCACAGTAGAATCTCCAACTAACAGTACTGATACCTACACTATCCGAGTTAGGCTATCATGAGTCACAGTAGAATCTCCAACTAACAGTTCTGATACCTACACTATCCGAGTTAGGCTATCATGAGTCACAGTAGAATCTCCAACTAACAGTTACTGATACCTACACTATCCGAGTTAGGCTGTCATGAGTCACAGTAGAATCTCCAACTAACAGTTCTGATACCTACACTATCCGAGTTAGGCTATCATGAGTCACAGTAGAATCTCCAACTAACAGTTCTGATACCTACACTATCCGAGTTAGGCTGTCATGAGTCACAGTAGAATCTCCAACTAACAGTTCTGATACCTACACTATCCGAGTTAGGCTATCATGAGTCACAGTAGAATCTCCAACTAACAGTACTGATACCTACACTATCCGAGTTAGGCTATCATGAGTCACAGTAGAATCTCCAACTAACAGTTCTGATACCTACACTATCCGAGTTAGGGCTATCATGAGTCACAGTAGAATCTCCAACTAACAGTTCTGATACCTACACTATCCGAGTTAGGCCATCATGAGTCACAGTAGAATCTCCAACTAACAGTTCTGATACCTACACTATCCGAGTTAGGCTATCATGAGTCACAGTAGAATCTCCAACTAACAGTTCTGATACCTACACTATCCGAGTTAGGCTATCATGAGTCACAGTAGAATCTCCAACTAACAGTTCTGATACCTACACTATCCGAGTTAGGCTATCATGAGTCACAGTAGAATCTCCAACTAACAGTTCTGATACCTACACTATCCGAGTTAGGGCTATCATGAGTCACAGTAGAATCTCCAACTAACAGTACTGATACCTACACTATCCGAGTTAGGCTATCATGAGTCACAGTAGAATCTCCAACTAACAGTTCTGATACCTACACTATCCGAGTTAGGCTATCATGAGTCACAGTAGAATCTCCAACTAACAGTTCTGATACCTACACTATCCGAGTTAGGCTATCATGAGTCACAGTAGAATCTCCAACTAACAGTTCTGATACCTACACTATCCGAGTTAGGCTATCATGAGTCAGTAGAATCTCCAACTAACAGTTCTGATACCTACACTATCCGAGTTAGGCTATCATGAGTCACAGTAGAATCTCCAACTAACAGTTCTGATACCTACACTATCCGAGTTAGGCTGTCATGAGTCACAGTAGAATCTCCAACTAACAGTTCTGATACCTACACTATCCGAGTTAGGCTATCATGAGTCACAGTAGAATCTCCAACTAACAGTTCTGAAACCTACACTATCCGAGTTAGGCCATCATGAGTCACAGTAGAATCTCCAACTAACAGTTCTGATACCTACACTATCCGAGTTAGGGCTATCATGAGTCACAGTAGAATCTCCAACTAACAGTTCTGATACCTACACTATCCGAGTTAGGCTATCATGAGTCACAGTAGACTCTCCAACTTAACAGTTCTGATACCTACACTATCCGAGTTAGGGCTGTCATGAGTCACAGTAGAATCTCCAACTAACAGTTCTGATACCTACACTATCCGAGTTAGGGCTGTCATGAGTCACAGTAGAATCTCCAACTAACAGTACTGATACCTACACTATCCGAGTTAGGCTATCATGAGTCACAGTAGAATCTCCAACTAACAGTTCTGATACCTACACTATCCGAGTTAGGCTATCATGAGTCACAGTAGAATCTCCAACTAACAGTACTGATACCTACACTATCCGAGTTAGGCTATCATGAGTCACAGTAGAATCTCCAACTAACAGTTCTGATACCTACACTATCCGAGTTAGGCTGTCATGAGTCACAGTAGAATCTCCAACTAACAGTTCTGATACCTACACTATCCGAGTTAGGCTATCATGAGTCACAGTAGAATCTCCAACTAACAGTTCTGATACCTACACTATCCGAGTTAGGCTATCATGAGTCACAGTAGAATCTCCAACTAACAGTTCTGATACCTACACTATCCGAGTTAGGCTATCATGAGTCACAGTAGAATCTCCAACTAACAGTTCTGATACCTACACTATCCGAGTTAGGCTGTCATGAGTCACAGTAGAATCTCCAACTAACAGTTCTGATACCTACACTATCCGAGTTAGGCTGTCATGAGTCACAGTAGAATCTCCAACTAACAGTTCTGATACCTACACTATCCGAGTTAGGCTGTCATGAGTCACAGTAGAATCTCCAACTAACAGTACTGATACCTACACTATCCGAGTTAGGCTATCATGAGTCACAGTAGAATCTCCAACTAACAGTTCTGATACCTACACTATCCGAGTTAGGCTATCATGAGTCACAGTAGAATCTCCAACTAACAGTTCTGATACCTACACTATCCGAGTTAGGGCTATCATGAGTCACAGTAGAATCTCCAACTAACAGTTCTGATACCTACACTATCCGAGTTAGGCTATCATGAGTCACAGTAGAATCTCCAACTAACAGTTCTGATACCTACACTATCCGAGTTAGGCTATCATGAGTCACAGTAGACTCTCCAACTAACAGTACTGATACCTACACTATCCGAGTTAGGCTATCATGAGTCACAGTAGAATCTCCAACTAACAGTTCTGATACCTACACTATCCGAGTTAGGCTGTCATGAGTCACAGTAGAATCTCCAACTAACAGTTCTGATACCTACACTATCCGAGTTAGGGCTATCATGAGTCACAGTAGAATCTCCAACTAACAGTTCTGATACCTACACTATCCGAGTTAGGCTATCATGAGTCACAGTAGAATCTCCAACTAACAGTTCTGATACCTACACTATCCGAGTTAGGCTATCATGAGTCACAGTAGAATCTCCAACTAACAGTTCTGATACCTACACTATCCGAGTTAGGCTATCATGAGTCACAGTAGAATCTCCAACTAACAGTTCTGATACCTACACTATCCGAGTTAGGCTATCATGAGTCACAGTAGAATCTCCAACTAACAGTTCTGATACCTACACTATCCGAGTTAGGCTATCATGAGTCACAGTAGAATCTCCAACTAACAGTTCTGATACCTACACTATCCGAGTTAGGCTATCATGAGTCACAGTAGAATCTCCAACTAACAGTTCTGATACCTACACTATCCGAGTTAGGCTATCATGAGTCACAGCAGAATCTCCAACTAACAGTTCTGATACCTACACTATCCGAGTTAGGCTATCATGAGTCACAGTAGAATCTCCAACTAACAGTTCTGATACCTACACTATCCGAGTTAGGCTATCATGAGTCACAGTAGAATCTCCAACTAACAGTTCTGATACCTACACTATCCGAGTTAGGCTGTCATGAGTCACAGTAGAATCTCCAACTAACAGTTCTGATACCTACACTATCCGAGTTAGGCTATCATGAGTCACAGTAGAATCTCCAACTAACAGTTCTGAAACCTGTACTTGACATTTTCTACATATATTCAAGGCATTCGATGGCATGTTTGGTTGACACAGAGCTACGCATTTCTGTAAAAGTTATAACGTCGAATATTTCCATCTCCTCATAAATCATTAAATTTATGCGGTTTGACCGCCTTTATTTTATCTACACGAAAGTGGTTTTGTTATCGGAATCTGATATAAACTGACGAGCGAAAGAAAGTACACAGGTGTAAATGTTGATGCAATCCCAAATATGCGTTATAACTAATAAAATTATTGAAAAACATTGATTGTATAGAACGCAACCATCATGTTTCATTTGCCAAAATGCAACCCAAAACCATTTGTACATGTTTTGCACGAATTTTTGCAAAATTGTGATTATTGTCCCATGCACCAGCACTTTTCTGAAAGAGAGTATAAAACCTGTTTGTCGCGAAGACTGAACAATCACTTGACAGAAATCTCACAAGGGAATGCCAAGATTGACGGCGGCGCAACGAGAACGGGCCAAAGGAATGACACAAATGGGTGCTTTCAACAGCGATATTGCAAGGACATTGGGTTGCACAAGACAAACCATAATTCGTCTGTTTAACCGTTTCAGTACGACAGGCCAGACATGTGATCGACCCAGAAGTGGACGTTCCAGAGTCACAACACCCCAAGAGGATCGCTATCTGCGGGTTATTCACCTACGCAACTGGATGTTGACGGTGACGTCATCAGCAGCCACATCATTGGGTCATCGCGTAAGCCGATTCACAGTGACAAGACGACTTCGTCCTGCTGGCATGTATGGGCCTACCGACCGCTGCGTGGAATGGCCTTGACCTTCCAGCATCGTAGGAACCGTCTGCAGTGGTCATCACTACATCGCTGTTTATTGTTGAAATGTCATTTTGCTGATGAAACATGTGTATTGCAGTGTGCTTCAACATACATTTTCCATTTCATCAAATGGTTTTGTTATTTTTATCTTATTGGAAGAAACACAACCTGTGTAATTTCTTTTGCACATCAGTTTAGTATCCGAAACTTGTCTTAACTGTTTTTCTTTTTCAGAAGTTTTGTTTTTGCTCAATTACAGTATCACCAATATGTTCTTGATTAATGTGGGTGTCTTTAGTCAATCATGGCCGTAGGTTAGGCTGATGGCTGATGAGTCCACTCGCACCCAACTACTAGGTTAACTTGAGAAATAATTATATGCCCGACGGCAGTACCTGAAGCGGACGTAAACAATGTCCACCCACGTCCACAATCATCAGCTGACGCGTGGACGACACACAGCCATTCTAGTCAGATACCACTGTTATGAAACGAGCGGACTTTCTATTGACGTCAATCTGTGTGATAGCAGTTGGATATAGCTCCATTTTTATATGTCTGTAGTAAACCTACTGTAAATTTAAAAGTGCAAAAGAAAATCGTGCCAAGTTGGTGTTCATGTTATCTAAGTAGGCGGCCGGCTGCCCGTGGATCAACTGATACGTAACAAGGACAACATACTCGAGCCTATACCAGACTACACTGTCAGCACTTACACGCTGCATCACTCGTGTTTACGTACGCGAGCGTCTTGTTTCACTTATACTAGGTCGGTTATTGTCATCCATTATAATAAATTGTTTTCATCCATAAAATAAATTATATATCATTGAAATATAAAGCGAAACCAATGTGAAAACTGAAGCAGAAATGCATGAATTATAATGAACACAGCGAAAAGGTCATATTATCACGGATAATTCATTAATGTATCTATTAATATACGATTATCATTTGATTTAATATCTGCTTTATTTTACAGAATCGAAACAACTGGCATGGAAATGATTAAACAAAACTAATTCTGTAACACATACAATTATTCAATATGTGAACATGGTCACGCCAACATTAAACTTATTAGAAATGCTATGGTATAGTTCTCATGCACCTGGTTACAACGTGTCAGGTCCTTACCGAAGGAAACATAGCATTGACATCAGTGAACATCATTAAACTGAATTCACACATCGAGTGTACATCACTGGTGTACAACCTCTGCATGATATACGACTGTCTCCAATACCAGGCATGACTGCATCCCATGTTCCTGCAGCAGGACCTACCTTTTCTGATCACCCTTGCTCTCGGCCGGAGGGCGTCTGTTGTCAGTACTTGACTTGCAATCACACTGACGACGATGGCAGTGAGCCGCATTCTTATTAGCTCCTGAAACGCAGACGTTGTAGTATTGATTGGTTAAGTGTGTATGTCAAATGATCAAGTATTCATAATTTGACATTCGACAACCCCTGTACATGGTATTTTCATAGCTACGCTTGTTATCAAGATGTCATACATGAATTAATAACAAGGAGAGCGAAACGTTTAGTATTCTTGTACCGATAAGGTGGCATTTGTACTGTTAATGGTAACAGGAGGAACAACTACTAGTATAGAGTTCGTGTGAGAGAGAGAGAGTGAGCTATATATAAATGTATAGAGAGAAAGAGAGTGAGAAGACAGCGATTAGAGAGAAAGAGTGAGAGAAGAGAGAGAGTGAGAAGAGGGAGAGAGTGAGCAATACTACCGGAGGTTGGAGGTGACACACGTTGCTCAATACTGAGTCATAATGAACTAGCTCAAGAAACTGGGTATAAATGGTTCCAATGTTCCCGCTGGATTTATCGACACAGTGGATCTACGATATTAACTCACAGATATGGATACAGGTGCCAATGTTTGGCTGGATCAACCACTTGTTCCAGAGATTACCACACAGGTGCCTGTTCGTCTTACCAGCTGTAAATGGCACGAGACAGGCCGAATGCGGTAGTTTGTACGCTCCCAACAATCGCACCTCTCTGAGATCGAATCGAATCTATTGTCTAGTCTCATGGCACATAAACATTTAACACATCATTCGTGTGTGACGCTACCCGGTCTACCGCCCACTACTCCCACTTGGTGGGACCATCCACACCATGCCATGCCATAGTCAAGGTAAAGATGGAAACCATTCCGTCATTAAAATAACCTTAGGTCATCACCATGGAGTAGCCAGTCAGGTGATGTCACACCTATGTTTGAGATACAATACGGGTCTGTAGCCCACCTGTATTTGAAATTAATGTTACAAAACTGACAGGTCATCCGTAATCCCTCCTAGGTTGTATGTTGTTCTCTAAATATTATGAAATTCTCAAGATTTAGGGCAACAAGTTGCTTGATCATTCTTGATCCTGTTTTAAAGTAATTCTCAACAGATACCTCACACGGAACAGGTTTCTTTGTCAGCTTCAGATGATAGCATATCGTTCCTTTATGGGGGCGGTGGGGTAGCCTAGTGGTTAAAGCGTTGGCTCGTCACGTCGAAGACCCGGGTTCGATTCCCCACATGGGCACAATGTGTTAAGCCCATTTCTGGTGTCCCCCGCCGTGATATTGATGGAATATTGCTAAAAGCGGCGTAAAACTAAACTCAGTCAGTCAGTCGTTCCTTTATGTGAATATTGATGGCTACATTCATCGAACAAGGTAATGGCCTGATATTATTGGTATAATTTTAGTCGGCATTAATGTTGATATTGGTATAGGAATAAGGCTTAATCCTAATAACCTTTGGGCAATTAATACAAGAAAAAGACTAGAAATTATTAATAGAACTCTAGGGAATTGGAGGAAAAGAAAGTGGACATTAATAGGGAAAATAACTGTTATTAAAACTTTAGCATTTTCATCATTGGTGCATATATTCACTTCACTTCCAAATCCTCCAAAGGAATTCATTGACAAATTAAACAATATATTTTATAAATTCATCTGGATGATAAGCGGGATAATATAAAGCGAACGACACTTATTAGAAAATATGAAGAAGGGGGACTCAGAATTGTTAATGTAGAGGTATTCATAAACTCTTTAAAACTGTCAGTTTTACATAAATATCTTCAAAATAAAGGCAGTACTATCTTTCCATTCAAAGATATATATCTGCTTGGAGCCAATATTGAAAATTATGTCAATATTATGAATCCCTATTGGAAAGATGTATTGGCTGCATGGGGAATATTCTATAAAACACATAAAACCGATTTTACAGATATTGATCAAATCTTATCCGAACCCCTTTGGTTAATCATCAATTCCAAAATAGTAATGTCATTATAAGACATTGGCATCTCAAAGGTATTCACTCTATAAGAGACTTGTGTAATGATCAAGGTATTTTGTCAATTAGTGAACTTAAGAAAACTTACAAAATTATAGGCACAATTCTTAACTATTATCAAGTTCTTTCAAATATACCCCCAAAATGGAAAGATACTATAAGAAATAATTTATTGATTGTTCATAATCATTATCTTAACACATCACTGATAGGTTTACTTTCATAAATCAAGACAGTTAAAATGTAGAAAAATATATGCTATCGTCCACGTAATCGTTTCCTTCGAAGATTTCTTGGAATGTTTGTCATGAAAATTCTGCAAAGTGCGATTGAGGGAGGTATGTATTGTGTGCAGGGACCAGTATCACTCTCTATTTGCGCAGTATGCTATGCGCACTTGCAGACAACTGTAGACAGGAGTCGAGTTTAAGAAATTCGCACCTCCACCGTTGAAGAGTGCGATCTTAGCTAAGATCGCGATCTTAAATCTATGCGGTCTTACAATCGCGCTAAGATTGGCTTCGTGCAAGTGGATGAGGGCAATTGTATGGTGATTGTAAAGTTGATTGTAAGGCCCTAAGATTGATTGTAACTAAGATTGCTCTGTGCAAGTGGGCCATGTCTGGGTGCCGTTCCACTAACCGATCTTAGCCCTATGCCAATCGTAAACCCCTAAAATCCCAATCTTAGCGTGACGTTACGATCGGCATACCGTTCCACTAACCAATCTTACCTAAGTCAATCGTAAAGTTAAGATTCAAAGTCTAAGTTGCTCATGACCAACTTAGGATAGCTAAAATCAATCGTAGAGAAACCAAAATGGTGGCTTTCCTATTCTATGTGAAAAATAAGAGCGAGCATTTCACCGTGAGCGTCCCCTAAAGTCCCCCATGAAATGAATTTGTATATTTCTGTGATGTAAACAAACACTGCACTAAAGCCTTACAAATGTCAGGCCAGTCTGACCACTGTCGTCATGGGAACACAACCGAGCGTGTCGGTATAACACATTTGTACAACAGTATTGCAACGTCATGGTTAAGAATAGGGACAGCCGTAAAGTGAACAATGTTCTGAAGCAAAAAGATACAAATATGTTCGATTTCACTGCGCATATTTGGTGGGGGATTCTAAAGGCAGGCCGCGTGTTATTCAAGACCACTGACAGATTCTACATAGGTTATAGCCTCGTCACGCCTTGTTTATTCTGATTGACAAGGTTAAGGCACATATTAAAAGCTCTGACACAATTGACATTTTTAAAGTCCAGACTTAAAACCTGTTCTCTGTATATTACTTATAATCTCGGCTGTAAATATTCTCGAGTAAATTATCTGTACACAGCGCTTTGAGCATGCCCAAGGATGTGGAATAGGCGCACTATAAATATGCATTTATTATTATTATATTATGCTTGATACCCAGCGTTCACACGCACTTGCACCTGAAACCAAGGTGCTCACTACCCTAATATTTTGCTCTAGGTTTTTTTCTCCACGTTTGCACTTGGTTGGAAAAAATACCCATGAAGGCCCGGGTTAGAATATTGAACTTCAATAACCCATGCCTGTCGTAAGAGGCCACTAACGGGATCGGGTGGTCAGGCTCGCTGACTTGGTTGACACATGTCTTCGGTTCCCATTTGCGCAGATCGATGCTCATGCTGTTGATCATTGGATTGTCTGGTCCAGACTCGATTATTTATAGCTAAGATACATAGCGTTCACTAACATGAACGCTCATGTTAGTGAACGCTATGCATCTTAGCTAGATTATTTACAGACCGCCGCCATATAGCTGGACTATTGCTGAGTGCGGCGTAAATCTAAACTCACTTCGTAAACTACTTTCTATCATTTGCTAGACTATGCAAAGGGAGATAACTCGTGCCTCGCATTCCTAATATGATCGCTGTGAAAGGCCCTGAATCAAGATTGTGGTTGGAATCAATGAAGCTAGAGGAACTATCTCTATGTCCTGCAGCGGGGCTCGATGTCAGGTGTACGCTGCAGGGATGCCATCTGAATGGGTACGTCAGACCCCGTGCGATACAATCGGACCAGACTTCATCCCCCCACGAACTTATCGTGACATGGTTGTTTATCGCCTATTAAAACAGGATACCTTCGTCTGTAGGGAGTGGCCAGAACGGTAACAAGACCTCAACCGAGTCGAACTCATGTCAGTCGAGCAAAAGACCCTCTGTCAAACTGTATATAAACTCGGCAATGATCTTACTGAAGAATGGAACAATTCTCCCTTTGGTAACCATAGATACGCTTAATGGGAGCATGGGACGAAGACTGACATCGCATCACTTCTGTGCTGAGAGTAGGTATTCGTGGGTAATGAAGTGTTTTCGTGACGTTTTGACGTTACGGTATTGGTGAGATACTTGGACATGTTAATGTGTGATCTGATTCCTTGTCACATGTTGGTCGCTGGCATTGCGAGGCACACGGAGTTAACGTATTAAACGTGTCTTCACGCTGTATTGTCTTGGCTATTTCAACAGATGGATATACACCTGTTTCGATTTTAAAAAACTGTTGAATAATCAAACTTTCATGTTTACTGTTATATTTGCTCCAACGCGACGTGTTTTTAACCTGTCCGTGTTGCCGAGTTCTACATGTATACTTGCTATGTATTGTTTACACCGAGTGGAATACCATACTGAAATAATACACGTGTTCTGCTGGGGGAACATTGGAGATTAAAACGCCGGATCAGGCGCTGTATATACACGACTGCCTTGCCAAAGGGAACTGTTTGTATTCAGATTAATGTGTTTAAAACTTGAATACTTCCGACAGACGACTCACGTAATTTTGACACTGTGATGAAAATACGGGAAACGTACAGAAGCAGAAAAATGACATGGATGTAAACATTTGTAAAGACGCATCTTACTTTCAGGCATGAGGTTTGACATAACCTCAATATGATTATTATCATTTCTGAAAAAAAGAAGAAAAGAAAGTGGAATGATTTTGATTGAAATATCTGAGAGTTCCAATGTTTATTGGAGTAAACCATTCTATCAGAATTGTAACTAGAGTTTGATATCAAATGTTAATTTGATTGTAATATATGCAGCTAAGTTCCTGCTCAACTACATACTGTCCACAGGTACTACTGTACGTCGACAATCAGCTGCTACCATGGCAGGTAAAAAGGCCACACAGACATCTGCAACGTCATAGGTGAAAGCTAAAACTGGACTGGGAAGTAGAATACTTTCAAAATATAGATTATTGATTTGATCACAACCAGTAATTGATCTGTACCTGAGCTTGAATTTTAGTAAAACTTTATGCCACTTTAAGCAATTATCCAGTAATATCATGGCGGGGGACACCAGAAATGGGCTTCACATATTGTACCAATATGGGGAATCGAACCCGGGTCTTCTGCGTGACGAGCGAACGCTTTAACCACAAGGATACCCCACCGCCCCCTTAGTGAGAGAAATACAATCCTAGACGCGAACTCGAGTAAAATATTGTGTTGCACCCATGAATTATTCACAACTAACCTTTCTGATAATATACATATTGATCCTTCAGCTTGAAAACGGTCTAAGAATCTGCACCGAAACGTGGCTCTATGAAATAAACATGAGTGTCATCCATGAGTCGTATGCTTTAATATTGACTCACAAACTTCTAGAAAGCCGATCAAACAATAACCTTTAAACACGATTGTCCAGTGAACGTTTCGGTTAACTGCGGCAGTGCATGACCTCGGGTCCCGCTGGGGACAGGCATGAACTCGGGTCCCGGTGACCTACCTAACTGTCAAGGACAAGTAAGTACACCGTAACTTTTAAACTGCCATCCAAAACGAAAGAAATGTCATTCGTATATCTGTGTAGGACAAACACAGGATTGTCATCACAGTGATTGACGCAATGTTTCGACATAATGAAATACGTTTGATCTGTTGAACCAGATCGGGTCGCGACTCCAGACAAATGGTGAATCAACCACCTTCCTCATGTTAGTTCTTGAATACGAAATAATCAGTCTAACTGACTGAAAATCATTTAACTGGGGGAAGAGATTTGGGAGTCATTACTTCTTTATGAACATAACGATCAGTTGTTAACGACGACTACTCCAAGCATGGCCTAACACGGAGAGGAGCTGTGCCGGGTGGCCTCGATAGAGGAGTGAACTCTGCTGTCCCTATAGGAACCTGAATTCATCTGGGAAATCTTTAGGAAAAAGACGACATTAGCTAAAATTATAAATAACGACAAATAGAAAATCCCTTGTCCAAACTCACCTTTCCACCGTCTGGATACATTATTGATATTTGACCCCATACCATAACGGTAACAGTTTGAAGATCAACGTCTGATGTAAAGGAAGCTATTGTCAAAGGTGTTAAAAAGACCCAGTAATGAGGCAGAGTGAGTGGAAAGGATAATATTGTCTTTATCTGAGTTACCTCCCCTTTCTTACCGCATATTTACAGCAGTTCACTCCTCTGTTACCAGAACTACAATGGAGTCTGGAACCAAATGGTTCCAATGTGTCCACAGTGGCACACACTAATTGTATTCCCACATACACAGGCCTCAGTACCGGACATACGAAACAGTGACGCCTTGGCCTTTCGTCAGTTGGGGAGGTTAAGGATCGTGGAATCTGATACTGAACTCCGATGTGATACAAACAGGTACGGGGACAGGCCTTCTACACTACCCCCCATGAGGGCTCAGGTGCATGTCTTGCAACACTTCCGTGCACACGGTCATATTATCAGTTGATATTGACACACTGCACCCAGACCCGGTAATATGATATAATCGTCTAAACATTTTGGGCGAAATTGAAACAGAAAACGAACCAGGATTAAGATCAATAAGTGAAAGTCTGGAGCAGTATCAGCTGCTGTCGCTACTCCCTGCTCCGCTGAAGTCCTCGTAGTTGCTGGAACAATTTGCATTTGATATAAGACTGTCGGTATTTATCTATATTTCAGCTTTGTGTTTACCTCGTGAATAGATTTTCTGTGAAGTGATTTCACTAGTATAAGCTAGAGGCCTGTCTGTAGGAAGCCACCTTAATAGTGTTTACTTCCTGTTGTTACACGTGTACCATATGCTACATGAAGACATTGGGTAATGAGTGTGTACTTCTCAAAGTCGGATATCACTTATACACGTCAAACATTAAATTCGTAAAAACAAAAACAAAAACAAAATAAAACCAAAGAGTGTCTGCTTGACATTAAAGATGTTTTAATCATATTATATATTGAAAAAAATATTTTCCCTTTGACGAACGAAGTGCTTTCAATTAACATGACGACATCATTCCGTTATTGCGACCATGAAGCGGTATCTGATGTCACTTCAACAATACATGAACAGAGTGGTTCTCTTGACGATTCGCCAAAACACACTTTTCTTCATTTATCAAAATATATCGGGTAAGACAGAGATTACAACTGGGATTTGAGATTGTCTGATATTTGTTTTTAATGTAGTGATTGTGGATTCGGTACTTCGTAAATTCATTCGGAATCGGAATTCTACAAAACACAAAAGATACCAGTCAAGCCTAAAACAAAGCTTAAAAAAGTACTGTCGGAAATGCTAGAAAAATGCTTTTTGACTTATATTTAAAATTCAGAGGTATTACAGTTACTTAAATAATAAATATCACTTTAAGAAACATCTACCTAATGTAGACCGAGGGAATAAATTTTGAGACATGCCCTAAAATGTGTTTTTACTGATGAAAATACGAAAAAATTAGAAAAATATCGGGTAGTGGGACGTTATTTGATACAAACATTAACTGCCTGTGTTACGTCATCAGCATGCACGGTATCGACAGGTGAAATTGACACCTGAGCGCACGCTCGGGGGAGGGGTCATCTCAATAGATGTTTTCTTCAAAATGTTGAATATGTGTACGTATAGTATACGTATTGGTTATGTAAGGGATCATTTGTGTATGTGTGTTTGTTTTGAAATAAACATACGAATTACTGTACATTGGAGGAATCCTATCACATGTGTTATCTTATCGATTGATTGTAGAAATGTGCAACGTTGTAATAAATGTTTTGCATGTCAACAGTATATTTCATTGCAAAAATATGGATGTAATTCGGTCAGTTTAATCTAGTTGTGAACATTGGCCAAAGATTTAACGAAGTCACTGGTGTAGCTTCTTTAGAATATATATATTCTTCTTCTCATAAAGTTTGTAGACCGCCCGTCTAAGTACTCCCTTGTCAAAGTTGTCAAGGATGGTTTTACGTCCCGGTTTTGCTTTTGAGACGGTCCCTGTCTTGTCTGATTTGTTTACAATATTGTAAACTTGTTGGTAAGACATACCAACAGCTCTACAAGTTCTGTAATAAACCATTTCTATGCTAATGAAAGGTTTACCTCTGTATTTTTCAAGCACAGAAAACTTATAAACCATTGCAAGAATTGACTGCAAATAGTTGGCCATAGTGGACGCTGTGATAAAGAAGTGCATGCATGACGGGAAACTTATTAATCAAGACTTAACATTTATATTAATATTTCTTCAATAAAGAAACGATAATTAAGTAAAGTAACACAAACATTCAACAGTTATTTGTTAAAGAAAAACGTTGATTCATATTTTTACACCACCTGTATTATTAGCATAAATGTAAAGACTATTTCAGATTTCTGTTGTTGAACTGTGAAAAAATCCTAAGTTGTTGTTTTGGTACCATATTCTCTCCTGTAAACTGCCCTTTAAATGCATGGGAATGTTAAATCGATTGAAATACAAATTAGGTACACTATAGGCGAGTTGATATATTGACAACATTGTACATTTATCGCCTTTATCAAAGTATTACGGCTAAAAAGCATTTTTCTAGCATTTCCGACAGTACTTTAGTTAGATGGTGGAGTCAATCTGGCCAGAATGTTGTAGACTGGAGTGGGATTGTTTCGTACAGTAGTCTCTAGGGTCCGGTCCGCACACTTACCACTACCACTGAGATAAACCACGTGCCGCTATTACATGTATATATGTATATAAATCTAATCAATGTCATGTAATAATCAAGTCCATGAACACCAACATGACCAGCAGGTAACTATGTTCATTATCTACCGCCTTTGTTATGGTTATATGTAATTCCCAGATGCAATGTCATTTTACTGAACATGGACCATCGTAGTGGACCTGTGGTGAGTGAGGTGTAAAGCGAGTGAGTGGGGAGGAGGAGTGAGAGTGAGTGAGTGAGTGAGTGAGTGAGTGAGTGAGTGAGTGAGTGAGTGAGTGAGTGAGTGAGTGAGTGAGTGAGTGAGTGAGTGAGTGAGTGAGTGAGTGAGTGAGTGAGTGAGTGAGTGAGTGAGTGAGTGAGTGAGTGAGTGAGTGAGTGAGTGAGTGAGTGCATCCATGTTTGTTGGCGGTGAAAACAGCAAGAAATGTTTATGTTTGATATTACCTGACATCTAACACGCAGGAATGGCAGTTTCACAGTACACAATGTTGGGTAGATTGAAGTGTGAATTTTCAGGTGTATACATTCTTGTTAGCCACTGTGACATGAGCACTATTATGGCTGAAGACTGAACACTCGGAGTGTATAAATGTCTGCTTGACATTTTGTAGAGAATTCCTGTTGATGTCATTGAACTTCTGTGTCTACCAAGTTGGATCACTCGAGAAGATCACTGGATTTCTGTGCAACAATGCAGTGAATCCTGAATCCAGGAGGCCACCAGTCGTGTTAAAATTGGACATTTCGTCAAGTAGACAATTCCCCAATGCATAAACAGAAATCTAAAACGTCACATGGAACAGAGGTTGACATTTTCCATTTGGAGTAATCAAGAATTTTGATCATTTTCAAGGTCAAACAGCGTGGCTCAACTAGAATTCTTCAAAACGAATTACACTTTACAACAATGAGTTCTAGTTCTAGGGCACACTCAGCGCCACATGTCAATCTTGACATTCGATTGACGAGAAAAAAGAGCTTTTTCTAAAGCAGGACCGTGCTGTGGAATAACGTGCCATTAAACATTCACCAACAGCTCTAAACAACACGCAGTGTCATAAGCAGCTCTTTACAACACACTCTGTCATAATCAGCTCTAAACAACACAGTGTAATAAGCAGCTCTACACAACACAGTGTAATAAGCAGCTCTAAACAACACACAGTGTTATAAGCAGCTCTAAACAACACAGTGTCATAGTGGCTCTAAACAACATACAGTGTCATAAGCAGCTCTTTACAACACACAGTGTTATAAGCAGCACTAAACAACACAGTCTCATAAGCAGTTCCAAACAACACACAGTGTTATAAGCAGCTCTAAACAACACACAGTGTTATAAGCGGCTCTAGACAAAACACAGTATTATAAGCAGCTCTAAACAACACACGGTGTTATAAGCAGCTCTTAACAACATCCAGTGTCATCTAAACATCTATGGGGTTGTATCCCAAACATAAAATTCGTACAATTCCAAACACCAACGAGACAATAATCTGAAAGATCTGTAGACATGAGTTACCATTCATCAGGTTAATCAAGCTCTTTCATGTTCTGGGTTGAAAATAGTTATACATACCAGCTATCTAATAAGCTGTTGATATATCACATAGTATATGTGACACGCTTCTACAAACCATACTAAAATACAATCTTTTTAAATATACTGACCAGCCAAAGAAACGCAATTCAAGAAATCAAGACAATTGTGTTAAAGCATCAAATCCAAACTCATGCTGAAAAAGTACAATTTTCATGAATTATGAGTTGCGTTTTTATTGCTGGTCAGTATATGTGGGTGACTATCTTGAAATTGGGAAGTTTCCATGTAAATCCTCATGGCAGTAAAGAGTTATTAACTGTGTTAATGGAACCGAAACTGTACGATGAGCTACTCAAGTCAGCGTGAGACAGGATATGTCCAGACACCGCCTCACCCACTGTACCTTTGTAGTACATGTATGTTTATCAACAATATAGAGACATCTTACAATTTTGTGTACAAATCAAATCTCCTGCACAATCCTGTGAACTCTCTGAAAGGCACTGTACTGACTATGACTGCCATATAATTCTACATTGTGAACATTATTTGTACAACAGGAATCAGTTCTTTTCCAAACTGTTAGATCTTTTTCATGTCAGTGTGTCTGTAGGTGAAATACTGGCTACTGAGCACATATATGAAATGTAATGGAGATGTGTGATTGTCCTATTTTGTAAATACCTGTATTCCATGGTATCCTCACTCAAGTGTGTATTATAGATCCTTCCTTGCCTTTGCTCTGTCCATGTGTGTCCTTGCCTTGTGAATTGAATATGTTGATGTATATATGTATATCATCTTCGGATTGAAATCTGCATTCATTCATTCATTCATTCATTCATTCATTCATTCATTCATTCATTCATTCATTCATTCATTCATTCATTCATTCATTCATTCATTCATTCATTCATTCATGGATTCATTCATTCATTCATTCATTCATTCATTCATATTCATTCATTCATTCATTCATTCATTCATTCATTCGGTAAGTATGTTTCTAATGGCCAAGAAGCAGGTCTGCATTGCTTGATAACGTATACATACCTTGGCCGGTGGGCGCGATTGACCAGTCTGCTTACATGTCACAAGTCACGTGTCCGACAACTGACCAATCAAACCTGAGGCTTACAGTGTCATCATAAAGGCACCACTTTCGCTTCAGGTGGACGAGTTTCATTCAGGCCCTTTCTGGAAAACAAAAAATTATAATCAGCTGTTCTTTTCATTTAAATGTAATTCTCCTCAATATGTAGTTACAAAGTCCTAGGTTTCTGCCTGTTACAGGGGACACGCGTAAATCCGTCACAGCCGAATAAACCGACTTGATATATTTGGTCTTTATATTTCATTTGAAGAATTACGTAGGCGTTGAAATGAAATAATAATTAAAATTGCTACAGTCATTACTAGCATGAAAACATTACGACCAGTTGTTTACGGTGAACGGTTGCACACTGTGAACTAAACTCAGCAAGATATCCTCGGAAACCACTTGCACAGAACGATCTTAGCGCTACAATTATTGTAAATCCATAAGATCGCGATCTTAGGCTTCGGCTACAATCGCCATCGACTTGCACAAAGCGATTGTAGGCTAAGATCGTTGTAAGTTACAATCGAAACTTACAATTGGTCCGGACCAATTGTAAGGAGCTAAGATCATTGTAGTCTGTGACAAAATGGTGTTCAAGTTTCACGCAAATAATCAGCTTTACGTTTGGAGATAGCGTGCTTTTATATTGCATAAAACTGTACTGTATGATTCGCCTCGACACTTCAACAACACGGAGAATGCACAACCGATTTAACGTCGGATACATTGTTATATGCTGTAGTGAACCACAGAACTATCGAGTCGATATCACAAAGTACTATTCCCACCCGATTCAATGTTGGAATAAGTGTGAAACAACATACCTCTTTGATAATCAAGGAAGGATACTAGCAAATGGTGTCCGCGTGCGATTAACAATGGCCGTGACCTTTTCATTAACTCAAGAGCAGATAATTTTAGTTTATGGGCAAGATGGGAGTGGTTTCCCCTGGCCTATGCCGTTGCCGTAGAGTCTGTCATGCCCAATCGCAGAGCTCAAGATATTTTCTTTTCGGTGATGGAGTGATTTTGTCTTAGTTAATCATTAAAGTAATCAAGTTAACGTGCAAAATCAAGATTCAATTTTAATTTCACTTTTAGAAAAATATTTATCAACGCAATAGGGTCATATCATTAATATACTGTGAATGAGTATTTAACAACTGCTCTCTCGATATATTATTTGATATTCGTATTTCCCTGTCATGAATTCTTTACAACATTTCTGTAGCCATATTACATTTTCTGGTTATATTGTGAGAAAACCAATACTTCTAGGGTATATTTTTGATTTTACACACACAAAAAAAAAAAAAAGGAAAAAAAACAGCTGTGCATTAAACAATGTCTCATTGACAACCAGTGGCAAATCTGTGCAAGTGGGCCCATATGTCCAAGCGGCCTGCCTGGATAAGGAGGTGACTTCATGGGCTGATAGAGCGCCACCTGTTCTACACATCGGTAAATGTTCCATTATGTCACCGGGACATCGTAAGGCCAACACTGTCGCAGTGAATTAAGACACTCGTATCATAAAGGCTTGTGGAACGAGGTCCTTGTGAAGTAATATATCATTCACTCAATGACAACCGGAAACTCTGCACAACTCGCGTTTTTCCGGAACGAACAGGACGCTGTTCGGCTTGTCCCGCAATAACAATGGAATGAGAGATGTATTGACCTGACACGGCGATATTTCAATCATTACTTTATCATCAAACCTTCGCAGTGATTGGTATTATGGCACTGATTGCACCACAAAGATTTCACCGAGCAACTTTCATAATCATTTTGTTCCGTGTGTTGAACCCGCCTGGGCTGCCTCCAGTTTATTTCCTGTACAGCACCATGCCTTGCCCGCATTAGCAGCAGTGCATACGTGAGTTGATAATGAATGAATGAATGAATGAATGAATGAATGAGTTTGGTTTTACGCCCCTTTTAGCAATATTCCAGCAACATCACGGTGGGGGACACCAGAAATGGGCTTCACACATTGTACCCATGTGGGGATTCGAACCCGGGTCTTTGGCTTGACGAGCCAACGCTTTAACCACTAGGCTACCCCACCGCCCCGAATGAATGAATGAATGAATGAATGAATGAATGAATGACAATACATGCATACTTGCATACATGCACGCATCCATCCATCCATCCATCCGTACGTATGACGTATGTCCGTATGTATGTATGTACAGTACATACATACATACATACATACATACATACATACATACATACATACATACATACATACATACATACATACATACATACATACATACATACATACATACATACATACATACATACATACATTATATCAAACAGTTTCGTGGCTTGATCAATGTGGCAGTCTGTATACTACCAACAAATGGAGTAATCCACGTCCAACAAATCGCTTATCAGTTTTGACTGATATATGGCATTCTACACAAATACATACTGGATCGTGATTGGTTAAGTAAAGTCACTCAGAGGTATATAATCATTGATTTTCCAACACAGTATGTATTTTAAAAAATCCTAATACAGAGATCGCATGTACTGTGTTGGAAAATCAAAGGTATATGACGGAATTATAGTAGGTGTAAACGTTAAATAGGTGAGGTTTTAAATCTAAAATTGACAGCTATTATAATTTCGTTATATACCTCTGATTTTCCAACACCGTATGTTTATCTCCTAAGTGAATGGGTCTACAAACAATGAAGCGCTGTGCACACGTGACGACTTATCAGACCTTATCTGATACAAGTCCAGATTGCCGAGGAAACGTGTCAAGCAGACTGACACATCACATTCGATCTGTGATATCCCTCACATATACAGGAATTAGCTGATGTTGCTCGTTCAGACCAGCTCCACACCTACATCACGAAAACAACGATGTGAGTGGGGAAGTGGGTTGTTGGTTCTCTAGAACATCTGGCAAATAGATACAGCAGGATCCTATTACTGCACCTGTTGAATGTGTGCGTGACTTTACACCTGATGAGTTTACAGATAACCTGCAGGTAGAAATATAACGTTAACGTCGACTGTATGGTGAGGGGGTGTATCAAAATAACTAAGACTTACATGTTCGTGATAAATGGACATTATCATCTTGCAGGTTGTAGCTTACGGTTTTGATTATCAGTCAGCGATCAATCTGCCATCTTCATGTCAAGATAAAACAAGGGAGTGTGTCAAAGGTTTCCAAGGAGCGAATATTTCACAGAATATTAATAAAGTTAGCATTGCTGAACGTAATCAGTGTTGAAAGGGTGATTTTGAGTAAATTAGTGAGTGAGATTGAGATATTTCACAGATGGCTAATGTAAAGTGATATATGATATGGATAAAATGCTACTGATCCAACAATGCATAATTTATCATTCAGATCTTGTTGAATGTACGCATTACAAGTTTTTACACGTATGTTTTGTTTTTTTATTCCTGTAAAACCTTTCGAGATATTCCCCGGACACTAAAGACTATTGTCTTTGCCTGCTGACGATAAGGTATCAATATACGTCGGTATCACTCGTGTATACTAAGTTCAAATCATTAATATCACCGAAATGTAATATTCAGTACTTACATATATATACTTCAGGCATGATCTGGAGACGACAGTGTACAAACTTGTACAGACCTATAGGGTGACACGTGGCCCAGATACGTCTAGCTCTGATTGATAGGGCGATCAGTCACAGGCGACTAACATGAGTGTTTTTATGCTGAATTATGTAGATCAATGAATATCGTGCACAGTTTATCGTTTATTAACTTTCAGATTTACAACGTAAATTTACATATGTGCCGTTAGGGTTAGGGGAAGTGGCGGGGGTGGTGATCGGGGTGAGGGGTGGGGGGGTGGTGATCGGGGTGGGGGATGGGTGGAGCTGTACATGTTTCTCAGAGAAATCCCTTTTGAAAAGTCACGGCTGGCTGTAACACTTTAACAGACCATATTTCACCTTGACCACAGAAAGTTGTAACACCTTAGTATAACATAGTTCACCTTGACCACAGACAGTTGTAACACTTTAATAGAGCATAGTTCACCTGGACCACAGATAGTTGTAACACTTTAGTAGAGCATAGTTCACCTAGACCACAGATAGTTGTAACACTTTAGTGGAGAATAGTTCACCTGGACCACAGATAGTTGTAACACTTTAGTAGAACATAGTTTACCTAGACCACAGATTGCTGTAACACTTTAGTAGAGCATAGTTCACCTAGACCACATATAGTTGTAACACTTTAGTAGAACATAGTTCACCTAGACCACATATAGTTGTAACACTTTAGTAGAGCATAGTTCAACTAGACCACAGAGAGTTGTAACACTTTAGTAGAGCATAGTTCACCTTGACCACAGATAGTTGTAACAGTTTAGTAGAACATAGTTCACCTAGACCACAGACAGCTGTAACACTTTAGTAGAGCATAGTTCATCTAGACCACAGACAGGTGTAACACTTTAGTAGAACATAGTTCACCTGGACCACAGATAGTTGTAACACTTTAGTAGAACATAGTTCACCTTGACCACAGATAGCTGTAACACTTTAGTAGAGCATAGTTCACCTAGACCACAGATTGCTGTAACACTTTAGTAGAGCATAGTTCACCTAGACCACAGATAGTTGTAACACTTTAGTAGAACATAGTTCACCTGGACCACAGATAGTTGTAACACTTTAGTAGAGCATAGTTCACCTAGACCACAGACAGCTGTAACACTTTAGTAGAGCATAGTTCACCTAGACCACAGACAGCTGTAACACTTTAGTAGAGCATAGTTCACCTGGACCACAGATAGTTCTAACACTTTAGTAGAGCATAGTTCACCTAGACCACAGATAGCTGTAACACTTTAGTGGAGAATAGTTCACCTGGACCACAGATAGTTGTAACACTTTAGTAGAACATAGTTTACCTAGACCACAGATTGCTGTAACACTTTAGTAGAGCATAGTTCACCTAGACCACATATAGTTGTAACACTTTAGTAGAACATAGTTCACCTAGACCACATATAGTTGTAACACTTTAGTAGAGCATAGTTCAACTAGACCACAGAGAGTTGTAACACTTT